TTATATTAATATATATAAAATATTATATTAATTTGTTACAAGTATTTTATAGTTCAATATTATTTATTCGTTTTCACCTTTTTCATTTTTTGTATGATGTCAATATTTGTGTAACGGCACACGCACACATACAACTTATATTCCTTTCATTTATCTATACAACTTGTCTAATATTTTTAACAAATTTCCCACACTTGTAACACTGATTATTTTATAACAGAAAATGTATCATTTATTCTTTGAAAATAATGTAAGTTCAACTTTTTAAAATGTAATAAATTGCACTGTTGATTTTAATAAGATTTTTCATATTAAAATCAGTGCTTACGAAATAATTAATGAAAACCAATAGTTATTATCAATTATAGTCAATAGAATTTCTTAAGAAATTTCATCATTCTTATACAAACGTTTAAACGAAAAATATGATAATATTTATTACATTATATTTACAACGCACAAATTATTTGCTCTTTATCAAGATTTTTTTTCAATTTTTTCTATTGTATTACCAACTATAAATTATGTTTTATCTATCGTAGTTTTTTTTTAACCACTCAATCAGTTTCGAATCGCTTGAGTATAATCTAATTTCGTTCTCGTTGCAGGAATTCGAATGCGACGTGTCGGTCGCGGAAGGTGACAGGAGGCGGCAGGAGTTCTCCTTCACCCTGTACGACTTCGACGGCCACGGGAAGATCACGAAGGACGACATAGCCGGCCTGGTGACCACCATCTACGATACGCTGGGCGCCTCGATTCAAGTACCGCCGTGCGGCAGTAAGACGATCAAGGTGAAGCTGACGGTGTCGCCGGATCAGCGGACCAGCAGCAGCAGCAGCCAGACGCCCCGCAATCCCGCCGCCGGCGCTTGTCTCGCAAATGCCACGCAAACGTCGCAGACGACGACGTTGCCCGGTGGCCAACAGCAGCACGCCTCGACGTCCTGTTGCCATTTGAAGCACGCCATCCCGTGCAGCCATGCAACCGCCGCCGCGACGCGTGTCACCGCCCGGCATTGCGCGAGCAGAGTTCCTAGAAGGAGGAGAGCGACGCGGTATCGTTGTCAGGTGAGAGACCTACATTCCTCGTATGCCCACGTACATACATATGTATAATACATCGGCCGACTGTCTCGCGAGCCGACGACGAGATGCCAATCTCGTTGAGTATATAAGGTAGATATAAATGGGCGCCTCTCTCCACGCACAAAGAGACTTTCTTTCGATCCTCTAAGGATTACGAGAGAGAGAATCTTTACAATTTTTCGTGTTTTCTGATAATAATATATATGCAACAAATTATTATTACTTAAGAAATAATTAAAAGATAGAAATGTTAATGGGAGACTGTTGGAAATATTTGACAAGGATATTATATTTCCAATTTAATGGCTACATATTTATATATAAATGCATACTTTCATTAATCCCGAAAGTTAATAAGATTCTCACGTAATTATTTACCAAATATTTTTATAGATTGAATATTTTATCGAGATATCTTTTCCTATTTCTTTTATCTATTAGAAATAAATTCTTACATCATCTTATCCGAGAAACTTGGTCGTCGTGTCATGTTTATGTCTGTTTTATCCATTATCGTTTTCGTCGTAGACTGAGCGAAAAGAAGTGGAGACTCACAGCGAGGACGAGGACGATAATACCCGTGCAAATCGAGTGCAGCAGGAAGAGCTGCGCAGAAGAGTCGGTCCGGTGCCCCATTTACCATCCCCCTATTCAAACAGCTCGGAGGGTGATGTGAGCGACGATAGTGACACTTCCCCCGCGTTCTCACCATTAACGCCTCTTCTTACGACGAATCAGAGGAAACGCAGTGGTGCTCTGCAAAGACAACAATTATTAGAGATTATTCAGGCTAACATGGAAAAAAATAATCTCAGTTTTCACACATCAAGGTGAGTTAATTGCTTCATCAGTTTCATCAAGTTATAGCATGAAACTCGTTATTAAATTATTAAAATTTATTAACTTTTGTCGGGAGATAATTAACATTGGGATAATCTCTTAATATTCTTGAGAATTTATTATTCATAAGAATACTTTCAAACTCCATAAAAGATCATAAAGATGTCAACCGATGGTTATATACAGAGTTTATTGTTTTATCTGCAGGAAACGGCATCAAAACGAGCAACCGCGCATTCCATCTCATAGTCCCCATCTAGGAACCTCGAATCACAATAACCAAGACTGTCAAGCATCTGCGGAGCCTCGTCAAGCGACTACCAACTATCACAAACCGATCCGGGAAAGCACAACAACTCATCATTCCGCGTCGTTTCCCAAAACATCGGCGAAATCGCGGACGGCGAATCTGAGGAAAACGCGGCACACGACACCGAGGAATAACGCGGTACATTCCTCCTCCCAGACGACGTACCAGCCGATGCTGAATCGTAACGTCGCACCGACGACAATAGTCTACAACGATACGCCGCAACACACGACTGCCAGCAACACAACCCACCGCAACATCGTTAATCTCGTGCCCAACAACAACCAGCAAACTGCCAATCATCAGACAATTACCAATAATCACAACAATTTACAGCGCAACGATGCACAGTTCGTTCCTTCGCAACAATGCGGTAGATCCAAGAAGCATCAGCTGAAGCATGCAACGCGAGAGCAGGACCAGGCCCGTGCGATGGCACAGGTCGTGCGTTGGCTTGAACGCGAATTCTCGCAGAACGCGGTAGCGGCCACGTCCAGCCGTAGACATGTTCACGAGCATATACACCATCACTATCATCACTATCACGCCGAGGCTCTGGTCTAATTGGCGATCGCGTAGTCTTTTTCTTTTTTAAACGTCTCAGATTTTTGGAAAAGCTTACAATATGATCGAATATATTTTAGGAGAGAAATTTAATTTGCATTTATCTTGCTGTTATTTTGATATCGTGGAGATAATTTAATATTTTTCAAACAGCGTCGTAAGATGCGTTTTATTTTGGAGCTCTTATATATATTGTCCGCTATATAAATTATTTAAAAATATCGTATGCGTCCTCGGTATATAAATTATTCATTGAATCTCCAGTTCGTTTTCTTGTACAAGACAAACTGTGTAATTTGTATATGTATATCGCATCGTTCGATTATATATATTCCTAGTGTTCATACGCGAATAATGGTGATGCGTCATCACGTATTTTTATTTTAATATAAACGACTGAGTTCCCCCCTCCCCCAGTATTTTATCGAAAAATACGGCATATTTGCGATGTTCTTCGATATTGCCTTTGTTATGTAAATTTATAAGCATCCTCTAGACAAGATGAGAGATTTCTTTATACTTTTCTATATTGTAAATAGCAAATGATGATGCAGTTTGTTTAAAATTATTGGGAAGGACGTGTGTAAATTAAATGTACTATTTGCGCGAGTTTTTCCTTGAGCAAAGATATAGTTACTATAAAAAAATCTCAGGCTTACAATTTATCTACGACGAAACAAATGCATTTCAGGATTTAGAAACGATACACACGTGGAATATTTCGCATGTGTTGTAGGAGTGAAAATTACATTTTTACTCGAAAAAGAAAAATGCAGACGTTCCTTTTCACACTCGAACTGACGGTAAACTACGGCTACCCATCGTTGTACATAAAAAGTATCCCAAAGAGAATCCCTCCTTCAGTATACATACGTTACGATTAAGAGAAACAAACGGTCTAAAGTCGTAACGATTATAAAAAAAAAAAAAAGCAAAGCAGTTCGAAACACACGGTCTCTCGTACGAATGTTCCTGTAATCAGAGATTGATATAATTCTCTTCGCCGAACGTAATATTCCTCGGACGCAGGTTTAATGGTGCTTGTATTATATAATATATTTTCGAGCGAACGCATGGAATTTTTTCGGTAAAGAAATGTTTCATTCTCTCGTACATATACAGAGCGTTCTCATACTTTCGTCGCGCAAGCGGATTGTTCCATCATTTTAAAATACTCCTCTTCGGCGGAAATATACCGAAGCACATGTGTAGGGA